TTGTGAAAGAATGGGTTGCTCTCAGGAGTTCAGTGAATTAAAGCCTGGTACCATGACAGTTTGCCATCTGTTCAATAAGTCCATTTGTGAAATTTCCTTGCTACTAAATATTAGTGGTAATTTTAACAAAGTAGAAGCAACTGGGAACAACAGCAATGAAGTGGTAGACCACGTAAAATGACAGCGCGGGGTCAGCACATGCAGAAGCGCATAGTGCACAGAGGTTGCCAACTGTCTGCAGAGTCAATAGCTAAAGACGCCAAACTTCATGTGGCCTTCAGATTATCACAACAAGAGTGCATAGAGAGCGTCATGGAATGGGTTTCCATAACTGAGCAGCTGCATCCAAGCCTTACATCACCAAGTGCAATGCAATTTCAGTATAAGACTTGATATTTTTGGGACATTATTTGAAAAAAGCAATGTATTAAGAATACTTGTTAATTTACTTTAGTTAAATCTACACAAAATATTATATTATCCAAAAAGGAAGCTATAATCCTATCATATTTTTTGTTTGTTGTATTCATTATCAATAGTGTTCAAAATGTGTGTGTTATAATGTAGCCATACTCAAATTGTAGTTTAAAGTATGCAAATTATAATTTTTTTTATGTGTATCATTAATATTTTATGTTGGATCACTACACTTTTTTGTAACTGAAATTTCCTAATAAAATGTTGTTACATCAAAAGATTTAAGTGTTACTAAGCCCATGCTCCTGCATTCACTATATCTGGTCTCCCACGCTACACAGAACATGGAAATTCAATGATTTTATTAAATATAAATTGCTAAATACCTTTTCTCATCAGCAGTTAGGGCAGTCTTCTCTTGAATTCTGCTGACTTCTATCAGTGCCAAGCAGAGTACTGGTTAAAACTTGTAGGAGGAGTTTCCATTCTCCCCTGATTGTCCTATGAGGCTGCATGACCCCCAACTCTTTGTCTGGACAGCACTGATTAGCCCTGTGCTGATCACATGCACCCTCCCAAATGAAAAAAATAAAACTGTAGCACATACACACTAAACTAGCATGTGCATAGTGGCTCCAAAGACTCTGTATTATCAGAAGATGAGTTGGGAACAATGGAAGCAGGGGAGGATCAGAGAAGCTATGCTCAAACAGCCTTTTTAATACAATGCAGAGTATTTACCTCTTAGGTTCCACAGTGAGTATAACACAGAATGCTTTATTGCATATACAGATTGATTTTACTGTTTTGGGCTTAGTAACACTTTAAAACTCACAAATTAAAAATCACTAAACCCTAAAACAAAGATATGTTATGCTCCTAAGAAAAATAATTGGTTCACACGTTTGCATACTTCAACACTTATTCTTTCTGCAGGAGAATAACAGTTGGAATCCGTAAAATGCAGAGTATTGTCTACCAGGTTTAGTTATAAATGGTTATGCTACCTACAAGGGGAAATGAATTCTATTATTTTATAATTCAATATATATACACATGCTTTACCGGGATACCTTAAGTAATTCATTGTGAAGATAAATTTAGTGTATGTGTCAATCTCTTAATCCTACTGTTAGTAGTGTTTGTAAAGTGACTTATTGTAAATAAATTGTATTTATTTTATAGTCTGCAGTCCATACTTCTACCTGATTGTTTTAGTGATAATCAAAGAATTTCTTGATTGGGCAAAGTAGCTTGGGAATAATTAATTAGCCAGCCTAATTATTTTTATTAAATTAATTTTCTATTGGAGGCACTGTCATTTATTGATCAATAATGATCAATATAGCTGACAAAATTAATTGTCCAACATTCCTGACAAAGTCATACAAAAATATAGACATAGTTTTGTGTAAACTAGTGATATAGTAAGTATTGCACTTTGTTACATTTAATGAAAAAAATGCAATTCAAAATGCCAGTGATTTAATATTGCTGTAGTATTCAAAAGTCCCTCCCATTTAATTTTAGTGCTATGCCCTTGCATTAGGAAACCATTCTAACACACTGTCACTGGTCTGTTCTGTTTTACAAGCTAATAGGTCCAAAACTGGGTAGACATTTATTTAAACTATCTCTGTGCAAACCAATGTGAAAACCCATTTACCAAACAATCGCCTTAATATTTGTGTTTGCAGGTATCACTGACATGTGTTTCTCACATTAATCAGATACTTATCCATGATGGCTCCTGATACCCTTGAGAAAGTCGCAGCTGGATGTGATGAAACACATTGGAGTGTAGAAATGTGAAGTCATCACGCCAAACCCTAAATAATGACTAGACTTTGGCTCAGTTTTGCCCAGTAAGGTAATGCCAATCCTCAGGCAATAAGGGATATCCTCCTGTATTTTTTAAAGTGATATTACAGTGTGCACTAGGATTTAAAGTGCACCAGCAATATGAGTGGTTTTCCTATTGGCATTTTTTTGGAATAAAGTAGTTTTAAAAATGGAGAAGCACTATGTTATTTTTTTTTTATGTTTTTTGAGTGGAGGAGCCTTTCTTGCATGCTGATTTTGGGCCATTGTAATAATACATAGTGAAGACTGTAATTGAGTAGGAGGCAGGAAATACTAGCATCAAGGTTGTGTAAGAATAAACACACACAAAGACCTATATATGTATAGAAGTCAATGGAGTTGAGGTAAGCGCACATAGTGAATAGTGGTGGATCTCACCTGGAGGATATAACAAGTAGAGGATGTTGCAGTTTGGCTATAAGTACAGGCATTGCATTGGAACTTTACCTGCTTCCCGCCTGGGCCATTGTAAAATGACGGTTGGGTGGGAGCCCTATTGTCCTGGGAGAATTGTCATATGATATACTCCCCAGAACATGCCTTGCGCAGGCCAGCGGGCTGTGCTCCAGCACAATCTGTTACCCGCTGTGTCCAACGGACACAGTGGATGACTGATTAATATACCGGCCCACTGCTAGTACCATGAGATTACTGTGACCAATCACAGCGGATCACATGACAATTGTAAACAATGAATGGCTTTGATTCCACATTTTTTACATTTCTTTATTTTAAAAAATATTGTGACAAAAAATTACAACTTCAAAAAACACACCATTCTGCTTACTGTATACCTTGGACTGTCTACTTTCCAAAAAGAGGTAATTTGTACTGTTCTGCTATTTTAGTGTCTCATGAAATGAGATACAGCAGGCAGTCAGTACATCAGGATTGATCAATTTACGTATACATACATGATTTTGCACTTCCGCCACCTGCGGATTGCTTCTGCTGTGAACTGTCACTGCAGAAGCCGATCTAAGAGTTCCAGTAAACGGATGTTCACTGGCACCTACAGATTGCTGAGCAGGGAGGAACAATGAAGCTCTGCCTGTGTTTACATAGGTACAGCTCTGTTCTGACAGTGGTCAGTGACTGATTTTGTGTCAGAGCAGAGGAGGGAACATAATCGATTACTACCCCTTGTACCAGCACCACCTAGTGTACACCAAGCACATAGCTAGGCACACACTTAACCCTTTGTGGGAACCAGTGACACTAATACAGTGATCAGTGCTAAAAATATACACTGATCACTATACTAATGACACTGGTTGGGAAGGGGTTACCATCCAAGGTGATCAAAGTGTCAGTTAGTGTAAAAATGTCAGCTGATCACTGAGATTACTAGTATACAAAAAAAAAGTTCTGGTAAATGTCTCATAGTTTGTAGACACTTTAATTTTTGTGCAAACTAATTATTATACGCTTATTGGGATTTTTTTTACCAAAAATATGTAGCAGAATACATTTTGGTTTAAATATATGAAGAAATTTGATTTTTAAATTTTTTTTATTGGATATTGGATAAGTTTTATAGTGGAAAAGAAAAATATTGGGTTTTTTTTCTCAAAATTGTCGGTCTTTTTTTGTTTATAACACAAAAAGTAAAAACCACAGAGGTGATCATATACCACCAAAAGAAAGCTTTATTCTGGGTGAAATAAGTACATAAATTTCATTTCAGTACAGCATTGCATGACCATGCAAATGGCAGTTAAATTAATGCAGTGCCACATCGCAAAAAATGGCCTGGTCAGGAAGGGGGGTAAATCTTCTAGAGCTGAAGTGGTTAAATACCACCAAAAGCTCTATTTGTGTGAAAATAAATGCTAAACATTTCATTTGGGTACAGTGTTGCATGACTGCACAACTGTCATTAAAAGTGTGACTGCACTGAAAGCTGAAAATTAGCCTGGGCAGGAAGGGGGTGAAAATGCCCAGTATTGAATTGGTTAATATGTATTTGAATATATGGACTGCTAACAAAAAAGGGAGATGCACCAATTTTTTTTTTTTCACAATTTTTATATTTGTACTTTTGTTCATTTTTTTATTTGGAAGTGCACATTTCAATATGATGATTTAAAAATATTTGTACAAGAAAAGATTGTTCTGCACTAGTTTATACATATAGGAATTTATTTAAACTATAGCTTTTTTCCCCGTAATTTGGAGATATGTAAACACTAGATTGGAGTAGGGTGTCATTGACAATTACATTCAGAATTCAGATTAAGAGTATGCAGTCACATCAATGCATACATGCGTGGGGAGAGTAACACAATTGCATTTATATGGTATATTTGTGGTGAAAATGAAATGGATCTTAGAACCGCATGTAGTTTAAAGGATACGTTCACCTTTTAACAAAAAATAATAAATATATATTTTTTTGCAGGTAAAAAAAAAATTGCATTCATTATTTTTCATTTCTCAAGCTTCAAATGCATTGCACCGATGATCAGCAGATCACTGGTGCCATGCAGGTCTCCTGAAGATCTGTCAGTGTTTCTGTGTGCCTGTTTATAGTACAGACAAGCAGATACTCACTGTCAGGAAGACTCAATGAACTACCACAGTGCTCCACAGTGCCATGGTGGTTCATTGAGAATTGATTCGACTGATTCGGCGAATTCATGGACAATATTCGATTCGAGTCGAATAAATTCGCTGTGAATTTAACTTAAAAAAGGGTGTTTCTAGGCTTCAGAGAGACTTAATATTAGTGCAGAACACTGTACCTTTAATTTAAATGCCCTTGGAGTCTGCTGGGGAAGAGAAATAATACTGTCACTCAGTATGACATGCAGATGAGTGCCGTCGATCTTAGAATCACCGCACACTTCACTCATTTGGCCAGTCACGGGGCCAAAACCAGTGTTTGGGAGCCACAGTGTGGCGGTGGAGAGGCAGCAGCAATGGGAGGCCATACAGCAACCTATGACAAAATGGAAACCAGCAGGAGTGTGAGGAGACCTGAAAGTGGCACATGCAGCGGGAGCAATGGGAGGCGGTACAAGGACCCATGTCACACTGTGGACCCAGCAGCAGCGTGACCAGGCGGTACGGGGGCCCATGGCAGATTACAGGCCTGGCAGCAGCAATGGGAGGCCCCGTAATCTGCCAGCACCCTATGACAAAAAATGGAACACACCAGCAGTGTGTGAGGAGACCTGAAAGTGGCACATGGCAGAGTGTGGCGATGGAGACAGCAGCAATGGGAGGCCGTACAGGGACCCATGAGAGACTCTGGACCTGGCAGCAGCATGAGGAGGCGGTATAGGGGCCCATGGCAGATTAGGGGCCTGGCAGCAGCTATAGGAGGCCCGTAATCTGCCAGCACCCTATGACAAAAAATTGAACACACCAGCAGTGTGTGAGGAGACCTGAAAGTGGCACATGGCATGAGACACTCTGGACCTGGCAGCAGCATGAGGAGGCGGTATATAGGGGCCTATGGCAGATTAGGGGCCTGGCAGCAGCTATGGGAGGCCCGTAATCTGCCAGCACCCTATGTCAAAAAATTGAAAACACCAGCAGTGTGTGAGGAGACCTCAAAGTGGCACATGTTTGAGGCATGATTCATGGCGGATTTAGTCAGTTGTGTCAGGAACTGGTGGTTTGAAATCCAGACTAATCCACGCCTGATTCATTTTCACAAAACGTGAGTCTCTCCACACTTTGGGTGGACAGTCGTGTCCTCCGCGGAGTTACAATACCTCCTGCCGCACTAAACACGCGCTCCGATGCCACGCTACTGGCCGGGCATGACAGCCTTTCAAGGGCAAATTCAGCTAGTTGGGGCCAAAGGTCAAGTTTCGTTGACCAGTAGTCAAGGGGATTGTCTACCTCGGTTGGCAGGGTGCTGTCCAAGTAGGCCCAAGCCTGTTGTTTGAGGTCCTGCTCCAGGTCCACCTGATGCTGCTGCTGCTGCTGCTGCGGCTGGTTAGTAGTTTCCTCACTGCGCTGGTGAAGAAAGCTACTCATCATCGACTGCAGACTGAGGCAGCCGCTGCTGGTGGAGCTGCCACTGCTCCTACCACCCCACCCCTCCCCTGCTGCCATGGCAGCGGAACGCGAGCGCACAGGGCCCACAGTGTCTGAGGATGGACGTTGGCGCACAAAGGCAGAGACCAACTGACTACATAGGTGGTTTTTATAGTACGTTATTTTGGCCTCCCTCTCAGCAGGTGTGAAAAAAAGGCCACCATTTTGAACGGTAGCGAGGGTCCAACAAGGTGGACAGCCAAAAGTCATCCCTCTGTCTGATGGTTATTATTCGGCTGTCGCTACGCAAGCAACCGAGCATGCTATGGGCCATTTGTGCCAAGGAATGCGAGGGACTCCCTGCCTCCATCTCCACAGCATACTGCCACGGTGCGTCTGGGTCCTCTGTCTCCTCCTCCTCCTCCTCTACCAGATGCTCCTGCTCCTCCACTCCTGTCCGCTGAGTGGAAAAACCACCCATTTCACTCAATAATTCCTGAGCACAAATGTCCTCCTCTACCTCCTCCTCTTCTTCCTGTCCTGCCCCCACAGGGGTCATGTGGCGTTGAGATCTGTGCGCCACGTCTACCGCACCCTGACCAGCCATTGTTAACAGCATTTGTTCAAGGACGTGCAACAGAGGAATGACGTCGTTCATCCCATAGTCCTGCCGACTCACGAATAGCGTGGCCTCCTCAAAGGGCCTGAGCAAGCGGCAGGTGTCACGCATGAGCTGCCAATGGCTGACATCGAAGTTACACAGGGGAGTACCTTTATCCGCTTGTAACATCAGGAAATCGGTGATGGCCTTTCGCTGCTCGTAAAGGCGGTCTAACATGTGTAGGGTTGAATTCCACCTTGTTGCAACATCGCAGATCAGGCGATGATGTGGAATTCCGTTCTGCCGCTGCAGCTCAAGGAGGGTGTGCTTTGCGGTGTAGGAATGGCTGAAATGCATGCAAAGTTTACGTGACATTTTAAGGATGTCTTGCAGTGGGATGGTGGATTTTAGGAACCGCTTGACAACCAGATTGAACACGTGAGCCATGCATGGCGCATGGCACAACCTTCCTTGACGCAGAGCAGACACCATGTTCTTTCCGTTGTCGGTCAACATGGTTCCGATTTTCAGTTTGCGCGGAGACAGCCATCTGTCGATTTCTCTGTTCATTACACTCAGAAGTTCCTCCCCTGTGTGACTACGTTCGCCAAGGCATACCAGGTGCAGAACAGCGTGACACCGTTGCGCCCACATGTGATATGCCGGTCGGGTAATGGGACTTGGCACGGGGGTGGCGGCTGAGGACACGGCGGAAGAAGAGGTGGTAGAGGCGGACATCTTTGCCGGACCAAAGGACGTGCAAACGTGGAGGCAAAAGCGGCGTGACCTGTCCAAGTTGCTGGTGCGGCTGTGACGGCACCACGTTCACCCAGTGGGCCGTAAATGACATGTACTGTCCCCTGACCGTAGTTACAGCTCCACACGTCGGCGCTGCCGTGCACTTTGGCAGAGACCGACATGCTCAAAGACTGGCCCACCATGTCTTCTACATGTGAATGCAGGGCTGGCACTGCCTTTTTGGCGAAGAAATGACGGCTTGGCACTCTCCACCGCGGCGCGGCACAAGCCATCATTTCTCTGAAAGGTGCTGAGTCCACCACTTGAAAAGGGAGGGACTGCAGCACCAGCAACTTGGACAGGAGGACGTTCAGCTTTTGCACCGTCGGGTGCGTGCTCGCAAACTGTTGTCTCTTGGAAACGGATTCCAAGAAAGACTGCTGACGGAATCCGTGAAGAGGAGTAGCAGGAGAAGGAGCATCTGAACGAGCGGAAGATGCCAACGAGCGACAACTCCCCTCAGCAGAGGTGTTGGAGCCTTGACTGGCTGATGGAGGGCGATTGACGTCGGGTGACGGAGCAAGTAACGGAGCGGGTGATGGAGCGGGGGCTGGGGCGGGCAGAACCGCCGTATCTTTATCACGGTTTTCCCAGGCCACCAAATGGCGACGCTGCATATGCTGCCGCAACGCTGTAGTCCCAACATGGGCCCCCTGGCCACGCTTGACTTTCTGGCCACATAGTCGACATACGGCTACGTTTACTTCCTCGGGCGGCTTGACGAAAAATTGCCACACCGCCGAGTAGGAAACTTTGCCCCCGATACTCCTCACTGGCTGACTGCTGCTTCCTCCGTGCACACCGGCACCACTACTGGCCGTGGTGGTAGGCTGCAGTGGAGCTGGTGCTCTACTCCGTGGCCCGTTTGGCTCCACTGACACTGCTTCCACTGACACTGCTGCGACCCTGCTGCTGTCTCTCCTGGGCAACCCACCGACTGTTTCGCTCACTGCCAAGCTGCCACCCTCTTCTCCTGATGATGCGGAAGAAATTGCCTGATGACGACGAGGCTGCCAAGTGCGATCAACCTCTCATCATCATCAAGTAGGGTCTCCGCCTCACTACTAGCCCCCTCGGCTGCGTCTGGGTCAGGAGACAGACCTGTCTCTAGACCGGCTACCGGGCCACTCTCCTCGCCACTACTTCTTCGCCTGGCTGCTGAAAAGGCGGATGTCTCCCCCCGTTCCTGACCGCCCTCTGTTAGCTCTTCCTCACTGTACAGTGGGGCTGAGCCCACAGCATGCGATACTTCGCTTGGTGAGGGAACACCAAAGGACAGGGGCAGGTAGAGGACACGTGATTTCAGTGGGCTTGGTCCCGGGCCATGCCAACTAACGGTTGTGTCTGACGTACCCACCGACCGTTGGCTGTAGGTGTCAGAGGTGACCTGGGAAGAGGAAGACGACCGAGCCAACCAATCGATGACGGCAGGGTTGTCGGTGGAGACACGACCGCTGGATGACACCGGGAGCACTGGCCTCTGGCTGCGAATAGTGCTGCCTCGACCCCTTCCTCTGCTGCCACGTCTGCTCGCTCCTAAAACATTGCCTCCTCTGCCACTCCTCTGCATGTTGTCTGACATACTCTTTAATTAAACGATTATGTGTCCCTGAGTAACAATTCTGTGTCCCTGAGTAACAATTCTGTGTCTGTGTGAGTAACAATTCTGTGGCCCTAAAGTAACAGTTCTGTGGCCCAGTAACAGTAAGTAACATTCTGTGTCTGTGCAGTAACAATTCAAGTCAGTAACAATTCTGTGGCCCTAAGTAACAGTTCTGTGGCCCTCAGTAACAATTCTGTGTCCCTGATTAATGTTCTGTTTCTGTGGCCCCAAGTAACAGTTCTGTGGCCCTCAGTAAACAATTCTGTGTCTGTGCGAGTAACAATTCTGTGTCTGTGCGAGTAACAATTCTGTGGCCCTAAGTAACAGTTCTGTGGCCCTCAGTAACAGTTCTGTGTCCCTGAGTAACAATTCTGTGTCTGTGCGAGTAAGAATTCTGTGTCTGTGCGAGTAACAATTCTGTGGCCCTAAGTAACAGTTCTGTGGCCCTCAGTAACAGTTCTGTGTCTGTGAGTAACATTCTGTGTTGTTTTCTGTCCCTGAGTAACAATTCTGTGGTCCTCAGTAACAATTCTGTGTCCCTGTGCAAGTAACAATTCTGTGGCCCTAAGTAACAGTTCTGTGGCCCTCAGTAAACAGTTCTGTGTCCCTGAGTAACAATTCTGTGTCTGTGCGAGTAACAATTCTGTGGCCCTAAGTAACAGTTCTGTGGCCCTCAATAACAATTCTGTGTCCCTGATTAACGTTTCTGTGGCCCCAAGTAACAGTTCTGTGGCCCTCAGTAACAATTCTGTGTCTGTGCGAGTAACAATTCTGTGTTCTGTGCGAGAGTAACAATTCTGTGGCCCTAAGTAACAGTTTCTGTGGCCCTCAAGTAACAATTCTGTGTCCCTGATTAACGTTTCTGTGGCCCCAAGTAACAGTTCTGTGGCCCTCAGTAACAATTCTGTGTCTGTGCGAGTAACAATTCTGTGTCTGTGCGAGTAACAATTCTGTGGCCCTAAGTAGTAGTAACAGTTCTGTGGCCCTCAGTAACAGTTCTGTGTCCCTGAGTAACAATTCTGTGTCTGTGCGAGTAAGTTCTGTGTCTGTGCTGTGTCTGTAGTAACAATTCTGTGGCCCTAAGTAACAGTTCTGTGGCCCTCAGTAACAGTTCTGTGTCCCTGAGTAACAATTCTGTGTCTGTGGAGTAACAATTCTGTGGCCCTAAGTAACAATTCTGTGGCCCTCAGTAACAATTCTGTGTCCCTGATTAACAATTTCTGTGGCCCTAAGTAACAGTTTCTGTGGCCCTCAGTAACACATTCTGTGTCTGTGCGAGTAACAATTTCTGTGTCTGTGCGAGTAACAATTCTGTGGCCCTAGTAACAATTAACAGTTCTGTGGCCCTCAGTAACAATTCTGTGTCCCTGATTAACAATTCTGTGGCCCCAAGTAACAGTTCTGTGGCCCT